CCTCCTACACTAATGAACTCATCGCTTTCCACCCCTCAAACGTATCTCTATAAATAAATAAATAAACTTCCCACAAAAAAATATATTAATAATAATAACACACAAAACCCCTAGCGATGTCATGACGATTTCCTTCACTGCTGTCACGGTGAACTCTCATCCCCTTCTCGTACGTGTTTATAGGGACCATCGGTTTTAAGAAATACCTCGGCCAGCTCTACAACACTGTCGACGTCATCGGGAGAGTGTATCCTGGATGGGTTGTGCGAATTCATCACAACCTCACCATAGAAGATGAAGTCGGTATGGCAGAGCTTTGCCGTATCTATTGCGATCATGACTATGTTGACCTTTGCCATGCGCATGATCTTCCTGGACTCGGTAAGGTGTTATGTAAGATCTGGTTGTTTATAGGATCAGTGAGTTTTAATTTCATATTATTTACTGTATGGAGGAAGAGGAGGAGGCGTCTGTGAAATGGTGATAGTAACAATAAAAATGTTTAGAAAAAGGCTAAGATATCTGGCATGATATGTATATGTGTATAATGAATTGATAGATCGACAGACAGACTGAAAGACTGATAGATTTGGATATAGTGATATATCGCTCCTTTGACAGACAGACAGATTGGAAAGATTGGAAATGATAACATAGATGAATAGATAAGCAGGCATACAAACAGACAGATTGGAAATATTGGAAATAATGTTGCCGCCAATCGACAGATATATAGATAGACAATCAGATAGACAGACCGATAGATTGGAAAGATTGAAAATGATATCCCTTTTTTGACAGATAGACAGATAAACAAAAAGACAGACAGATAGATAGATAAACAAATTGGAAATAATACTATCCCTCCCCTCGACAGATAGATAGACAGACAGACAAACTGGAAATTATATCATCCCCCTCGACAGATAGACAGATGAACAAAAGGACAGATAGACAGACAAATAGACCAATACCATCTCTCCCCTCGACAGACAGATAGACAGACAGACAAACAAACAATATCATCCCTCCCATCGGCAGACAGATACAAACAGACAATAATATCATCCATCCCCTCAATAGATAGATAGACAGACAGACAACTAGACCATAATATCATCCCTCCCCACGACAGACAGACAGACAATAATATCATCCCTCCCCTCGACAGACAGATAGACAGACAGACAAACTGGAAATGATATGTGATCCCTCCCCTCAACAGATAGATAGATAGACAGACAAATAGACCACAATATTATCCCTCCCCTCGACAGACAGACAGACAGACAGACAGACAAACTGGAAAAGCTATATGATCTCTATCCCAACCAGGCAACATGACCGAAAGGAGACTCACTGGCATGATGTGGCGATTCGCCGTCATGGGAGATCCGACGGTCCAGACTTTCTTAAGCAGGGACACAGATAGGTGAGGTTTTTGTGCTTTTTTGTTTTGTCTTTGTGATTGTGATTGTGTTTAAGTTTGTTGTCGTTTTTTGTTTTGTTTTTGTGATTGTGTTTAAGTTTGTTGTCGTTTTTTGTTTTGTTTTTGTGATTGTGTTTAAGTTTGTTGTCGTTTTATGTTTTGTTTTTGTAATTGTGTTTAAGTTTGTTGTCGTTTTTTGTTTTGTTTTTGTGATTGTGTTTAAGTTTGTTGTCGTTTTTTGTTTTGTTTTTGTGATTGTGTTTAAGTTTGTTGTCGTTTTTTGTTTTGTTTTTGTGATTATGTTTAAGTTTGTCGTTTTTTGTTTTGTTTTTGTGATTGTGTTTAAGTTTGTTGTCGTTTTTTGTTTTGTTTTTGTGATTGTGTTTAAGTTTGTTGTCGTTTTTTGTTTTGTTTTTGTGATTGTGTTTAAGTTTGTTGTCGTTTTTTGTTTTGTTTTTGTGATTGTGTTTAAGTTTGTCGTTTTTTGTTTTGTTCTTGTGATTGTGTTTAAGTTTGTTGTCGTTTTTTGTGATTTTGTTTAAGTTTGTTGTCGTTTTTTGTTTTGTTTTTGTGATTATGTTTAAGTTTGTTGTCGTTTTTTGTTTTGTTTTTGTGATTGTGTTTAAGTTTGTTGTCGTTTTTTGTGATTGTGTTTAAGTTTGTTGTCGTTTTTTGTTTTGTTTTTGTGATTGTGTTTAAGTTTGTTGTCTTTTTTTGTTTTGTTTTTTAATTGTCAGGCATTGTTATTTTGATAGTGTTGTCGTTATTGGTCTTATTGTTGTCATGGTTACCAAGATGAGTAGTGTAAATAACAGTAAAATATGCAGACCTCACACACACACACACACACACACACACACACACACACACACATATATATATATATATATATATATATATATATATATATATATATATATGTGTGTGTGTGTGTGTGTGTGTGTGTGTGTGTGTGTGTGTGTGTGTAAGGTCTGTATAGTTTACTGTTATTTACACTACTCATCTTGGTAACCATGACAACAATAACGACAACACTATCAAAATAACAATGGCTGACAATAATAATAATAA